GCCCAGGCTGGAGTCCCCCAGGTGGCTGGCAAAGGGGTGATGCCCAGGCAAGGACCCTCCGCTCGCCCCAGGAGCCATCCGACACGGATGGCCCAGGCAGCCCCGACCTCGCAGGGATGCTCAGAGGCCACAGCTTCGTGGCCAGCCTTAGCGGCATGCTGCCCACACAATTCCCTCCCTGCTTCTTCCGCAGACTCTGCAGGTATCAGCCCCCGGCACCCCCCACCGCCCGACGCTTTACGGCACTCCTTCCAAATTTCAACTTGTTTACTGTGGCAATAAAAATAAATTGACGCTTGTCACCCACGCCCCAATGCATCTCCTCTGGCTGAGCCCCGGGGACGTGCTCTCGTCCGGCTTCTGCCGGAGCTCGCTGCGGGCTGGGACGGTGCTGCTGGGGAAAGGCTGGGGGCCAAGTGGGAAGGAGGGGAGCTGAGCGCACAGGGAGGTTCAAGTCAGAAGTGTTTTGCCTCCATACAGGCTCCTGCTGCAGCATCCTCCTTCCCCGGTCCCCTGCAGCATGCCAGGCACGGCACAGCCAGGGTGAGCGGCGAAGAGCAGCATGTCCCCAGCGCATGTCCCTTCCCCAGCACACCCCCCGGGTGAAACGGCACCAAAGCCAACCTGTGGCAGAGCCACCCCAGCTCCCACCGAGGCTCCCGGGCAAAGGGGAAGCGGGGTTCAGAGTGGGACCCGCTCCTCCACCCGTAGTGTGCTCGGACAAAGCAAAACCCATCCTGTTCCCTCCCCAGCGCCCCAGACACCACTGCCTCTCCCACCCCAGCTGGTCGCTGCAGCGAGGGAAGCCGAGACATGGGTCCCACCAAGACGTGGAGCTAGAGCCTGTGTGAGACCCAGAGACCACAAGGTAAAGGGGGAAAAAGATACGTACAATCCTTGTACCAAGCCAGCACAAACCCCCGGGGAGGCGGGAGCTCTGGCGAGTGCTCAGTCTGCTCCTGCTGCACATGGCTGCTCCCGGGGGTTTCAGCTCCCTCTTCCCATCCCAGAGCATCAGGCTGCACCCCACGGCCCTGGACCTGTGAAGTGGGCCCTCCCCATGCCACAGTAGCCCAGGCGGCTTTCCACGCCAGCCGGAAAAGGAGACATCGCTGCCATCTCCACTGCAGGCAGCGCACGCACCCGTGCAGGCAGTGCATGTGTCCCTGCGGGCAGGGCACCCGCGGGGCCGGGTAGGTGCAGGCACTGAGCCCCAACCCCAGCGCGCCATGGGGCAGGACCACCCCAGCCCACGTCCCCCATCGCCGCCCACAGCCCCCCTGCGGAAGCGACCCTGCCCTCGCCTCGGCTTCCCAGGGTGGAGCCGGATCCCAGCCGCCGGAGGA